GAATGGGACACCAGATCTGCATGGAATTTCCCAGAAAGCTCACACCAAGCAGTGTGTTTTGCCACCCCTCTTCAGATACTATTTGCCAGCACTCAGTTTCCCATTCTGCTTTCCATACTAAAATCCATTTTATTCTAACGGGATCACTTGAAGCAGTGATGCAGATCAGTTTATTATCTAACACTGTCACTCTGTCTTAGCAGCAGTGATGCTGTAGCCTTTTCAGGTGCTCTTGGAATAGATTAATAATAATATAGAGGTTACTGTTTAGACAACAAAACTACAAAGACTCATTCTTTTGAAAGACACTAGTGTAGATGGGATTTCAGCTTGTGAAATCACAATCCTCATCCTGTCTTCCTGCAGAGAAATGGCTCAGAAACAATCCAATGCAGAGTATGTTCAGGTACCTAATGAAGAAAACATTCCTGCGACCACAGTTCCATCAAGCAATGCGACAAATGAATACCCAAGTGTTGATGAAATGGCAGCCTCTGGAACACCTGAAAATGATGAGAAGCAAGAAGCGGAAAAAGAAGAAACAGCCTAGAGTTTTAATACAGTTTTCCTTGTCAGCTTTGGACCCCTTCATACAAAAATTGTTGTCATTGAATTAACACAGAAGCACGACTAAAACTTAAACTGGCATTTGTATTGCAAAACAACAGGCTAGAGATCGAAAAGGGTGTGTTAAACATGTACTTTGTGAATAGCAGAAGATTTGGCCTCTAAAGTTAACCAGATTTCATTTATTATCTAGTTATAATTATGCATAAATATAAGTATAAAAAGACTATCATCCCCATTTAACCAACCTGTTTTCCAAAACTAATTAGGAAATTGGCTGAAGCACTTGACAAAGTGAGAGCTTTCCAGTCAACTCCCAGTAATGCTGTAGGTATCCACACAGTTCTGAACCACAGCAGGCTTCTGCAGAAACAGTGCCGGCCAGCCTCATGTTTCCTGTGCACCAAGAACAATTGTCACGGCCAATGGTGTTTAAAGGATCTGATTTGGCATCTCAGAAGTAAAAAGAAGTTTCATCAATGTCGTCAGAGTGCAGAAAGAGATGTTAAGACCTGGAGCAATGATATCTCATGTGTTTGAATTCCACTTAAAGCTAAAAAATAAGATCCTGGAAACTTTTACCCTGTTGCTGCATGTTGTGGAATAGATTTTGTTAACAATGACCTTCTTGGCTTTAAAGTTCCCATGGCACCAGCATTCCAGAGTTGTGTGTTTCAGCAGTTCTGGTTTTCAGTTTAATGGAACTAGCATTCAGGTACCCAGTTCAGACATCCGCTGACTGGTTTCCAGACAACAGGAGCTGGAAATCTAAATCCCTTCCAAGGCTTGTGATAATACACACACAGAGTAGCAGATTCCTCATGACACACAGTTACAGCTGCTTTCAGAAGTTAGAAGTGAATGCTGCCCACAATACACCACACTGATTTTGATTGCTTTCTCTGCTTGAGATAATTTAAATCTATTTCCAGGCAATTGCCCTACCCACTAAGAAACACCCTCATGTTACTTTTCTTCTGGTCTCTTTAGCCCAGTGTAACTTGGACTGGTTTCTACAGGTGAAAGCATCAAGAGGAAAAGCTAAGTAGCACGTGCTCACCAATAGCCAACAGCTGAGTAACAAACACTCTCTTGGAAGGAGAACAGGGAATCGAACCATGCACTGCTCACTAGACACCTCTTCTCTCTGAGCCTCATTTCTAAGGTTGAGCAAACTCAGTTCTTCAAAAGCGCAAAGCTACCTGCTTTCAGAAGAGCTCAGGGACCACGGGGCTCAGGTGAATACAGACACACAGCCTCAGCCACTCCCTTCTGAACTACTCGAGGCAGATACTGACACAAGGAGAGGCTGGTTTCAGCCTCCTGCACTGCAGAAAAATGTATCTGGCTCAGGGATCTGCAACTTTTTGGCACTTCTATAGGATCTAATGTTCATAAATTCTTTGGTGACTGTTCCTAGCCTGTAAGCATTACCCATATGCAACAGTCATCTTTAAAATAGATAAAAAGATATATCTGTGATAAAATTTTCTGGTTCAGTTCCTACAGCTGTAAGTATGCTTATCAAGAAAGTGACCACAAAAAAAAAAAAAATGACAACACTTAAAGACAATGTAAGGCATGAGGGCCTAAGTGAGACTCAGTTTGGATCATTAAGGATAACTGCATTCATTGCCCTTTTTACCCAGTTTTCTGGCTTTCAAATATTTGTCTTTGATACGTGTGTCCTAGTGTTTAGCCTCATTCCAGAGTAAAAAATCATTTACAGTGTTCTTATAGTATTGTTTTAGCTAGAAACTGTTCGTGCCAGACTGTGATACCACCACTGACATATTCTACCAGTGGATCCTCACACTCCTCTCTCCCCAGAATATCCAGGGTAAACCTCATGACCTGCATCGAAGTATCTTCTTAATCAGGCACCTCTCATGCTGACTGTTGGGGCAATTTTACTACAGCAAAATCTGCAAACTCACAGCCTTCAATCTAGGTTTAGAAGCTTACTGAACACTTCCGATATTCACACCCCAAGTTTTGTAGGCATGCAGAACTACATTAAGCATGCTCAGTAACAGCAAAAGAGTAAGTACTGCCTACTCCTGTTTGGGTGCCATTTCTTACTAACGAGATAATTCAAATCAATTACTGGTCCAAGTGATCCCACAACTTGGCTGACGTGGCATTAATTTTAAAAATTTCTTCTCTGACATTCCTAGGCATTCTTTTACTATTGCCCTTCATGGGAAAATATAAACTCTCTTCACAACTCTGCTGTAGTTGTATTAGTTCTTCTAAAGTAATCTCCTGGATATATGTGTCTTGGTTACATTTTTCTTACTGCAACAGCTTTCCAACTTTCACATCTCTGAAGAGGGGAATATATACTGTGGTTATTACCCTAATTTTTTAATCTTGCCTTAATCTCACCTTCACAAATTTCCCTGCAGGTATTCCTTATATAACTTGCTACTGTAAAATAGGAGTTTATGCTGGCAAAATTGTAACTACCTTCTATAGCTAATAGAGTCTTCCTAGAACACCACAGTTCTTTATTTGCTAAAAAAGTAGAAATTGCTCAAGGTATGTTAATGGTTTTTTTTATACAAAAATAAGTAACAATTGAACACAAGCTTTAGAATAATAAATCCTCTCATACTTCTAACCACCAGTGTGCGATAGTATTAAAAAAAAAAAGGCAAAAATAAAAAGCAAAACATATTTCTGGGGGTGAGGAGGAAGGTAAGGAAAATAACATTTATTTGGAGCTTAACATAATGAGATATTTTTGTAAGCCTTCTGGCAGATGTTTGTTCTCATTATGAAGTTTCTCTCATGTAAAATAGTTTATTAAAAAGGATGGGGCACTGTTCCTAGCTTTCCACGGATGCTCTTGGCAAAGTGCAAGCCAAATTACATATTGATCCATGGTGTGTAGCTCAAAAAAACCCTGCAGAGCTATGCAGGATGCAGAAACATTTTTCTGAATTTGCCTCAGATGTTCCGACAGTCTTTGCTGCGTGGCCCATTTAGCTTCTCCTGAGGGAGTGGGGATCATTAATACGGAAAGCAGATATTAAGCCAACATTCAACCCACCATCTCCTAGGGAATTGGATTTACAAAGCCACAGAGCTCTGGCAGGGTTTTTTTGCTATACAAAGATCTAGGATGAACACAGAATTGTAACTTTAGCTTTTCTCAATTCAAGTTTTCAGCACTGCCTTCACAATATATAAGAAACAGTCACATTCCTCCTTCAAGCAAGGTCTGCATGGCCAGAGCTTACTGTGCAGGCAAGTTATCTCTCCTGCGCTCAACAGGTGCCCTCAGTGAAATTTAACCTGCATTTTGCTTTCTAGGATAGACTGAAAGTACTTGGTAAAGATATTTGTTTGCTTGTAAGTTTCTGTCTTGGTTATCAAATAAATTGCATTACCTTAATCCCTACAAGTCACACTTTAGAAACCGTCATCTTCCATTTCAGCTTCCCCTTGCAGCTGAAGAACAAACACGTTCTATTTCCATACCTGGTAACAGATGGCAGGGTTTCATCTGACTTGTTCATATCCGAAGTGTCCAAGTTATTTAGAAAATATTGGTTTTGTTATGTGTAAGTTTAATAAAGTTTTATAACACCAAGGACTGCTGTTTAAGAAAGTTCTCTATTTCACCGATTTCATCAGCATCGTTTGTTCAGAAAGTGGAAATCTATCCCACTATTGCCAAAAGTGATCTTACCAACATCAGAACAGAGGGTCACTTTTCAGACTCAGTCTCATTAGCTCTGCCATCTAATAAGATAATACCAGCATTTGCTATGAGCAAACAGATTAAACCAGGCTTCTGTTATAAAACGATGGTAAACTGCAAGTGTCAGTGTTACATAATGGGAGTCAAACAGAACAGCAAAAGAAATCTACAGAAGGAGCAAGAGGAAACAAAATTAGATTTGAAGTACATCCCAGAGAAGTATCCAGAGTCATCCATTATATAACAGTATATTTGCAGAGCCAACCTGAAAATGCACCTGCATTCTGCAAGCAGTCCAGTGCACTTCATCAGATACATATATTTCAAGATTCAAAGAAACAACATACCAACAGATAACAGAAAAGCTTTACACACTCAGAGCACACTTGAATAGACTAAGTAAAAATGGATACAACAATCTAAGTAATTGAGCAAACTGCATTCTACAAAAGGAGAGGTACAGTTTAGAATCATCTGAAGGAAGAGAATCGGTACCCACAAAAAAAACCCAAACAAAAAACCACACACAAAGCACAAAGGCTAAGGGAAACAATAAAGATTCTAGAATAAGTTTCCAAAATAAAATTGACTTGAAATGGTTAAAGCATTTTTGGTCCTGTTGCTTCAAAGAAACAATCCTAACCTAGGTTCTGAAATAGAAGGAACGACCACATTTATACAGGCCATACTGTAAACTGAAAGAAAACTGCAAGATGTTGAAAAATACTTTAAAACCAGGGAGCTGTTTAATTAACAGGATGTACAAACAGTTGCTTTGGCACTGTACTTGAAAGAAAGCTAGCAATACACATTTTATTACCATGGTGATGCCCACACATGACATCCTAGTTGGAACTATCAAAATACAAAGTTTGCAGTCTTAAATGCAAGTGCGAGAGAAAAGAGGGCCAAGCCAGAAGTCCCCACTAGCCTTCCACCATTCGTTTAAGTATGGCTCCCAGGCCACCTCTTGCCACTTTCAGTGGGGTCAGTTCTTCTTTATTCTCAATGTGGATACTTGCACCGTGAGACACCAGCAGCTTTGCCTCCTCCACTCTCTCTTCATCACAGGCTAAATGACTGTAACAAGAACAAGAAACCCACAGCCACTATTAAACAGTCCAAGCTTATAAAGAGCAATAATTACGCTTTGTCAAAATGACAGCGTGAGTGCTGGGGGGAGATACATCCTAGAACAACAAAACCACACGCAACCAGCTACCTACACTGATTCCAAAGCTTGCTGTCCAGTCATTCTGTTGTCATTAAGCAACTCAAGAACGTTCCTCCTGCTACTGTCCTCACAACATTAAGACACTTCTTTAGATTAGGATTTGGCTCTGCAGTCAGCAAAGCTAAGGAGCACATAAATCCACAGTGAAGTTAGAAAACGGTATCTCCATTTGACTTGAAAGAGAGAAACTGAATTGTACGATGCCTGAAAATAATCTGAAGTAAAGAGTTACTGCAAATGCAGCAAATGCTTTCTTCCATTTGGCATACTTTCTTCAGAATAAATGCATGTGTTCCAGGACAATACTGGGTTTTACGTATAGCTAAAACATACTGCTCGATCTCATTCATGGCAAAATTTGAGTCCACTGTAGACAAAGCTGCGTTTTGCCAACAACTTCAAAGCAGCTAAGGTTTTACCCTTACCGATTAAAATTGATCTCTAAGGTAATATCAAACACTGAACTGATTGTACTTAAATTGCAACTTATTTTCCTTAGAGAGGTGAAGAAAAGCTTCCAAAATTAGCTCTTATTTGGCAGGACACAGTAGGCCATCCTGCAAGACCAGTTTCCTCTGGCTTTGATGTCCTTAGCTCACTTTCTACCCTCTAGTGGCAGCTGAAGGTATTCCAAATTATTGCAAAATAATTCACACTCGTGAAGTAGATGTAGTAACATAATGTATGTACAGACACACTTAGGTGAAATACTAAGTATGATTGTCTCAAATCCTTTTTAATAACATAGAGGTGTGAAGCAAGGGAGTATTTTGAGGCAACGAGAAATTAAAAAAAAGAAATTGAAGTAATGGAGTTTAATTTCATAGTGATTATGCTACATTAAGCAAAATAAAAATAAGAAATTACTTACAGAGGAGTATTTCCTTCGGAGTCCTGTATATTAACAGACGCATTGTGCTGCAGAAGGATCTGTACCATTTTTAGGTTTCCTTTGGCTGCTGCTCTGTGTAATGGGGTGGATTCAAAATGATCTGTTGCATCCGGATCAGCTCCGTTCTCTAAAAGCATGATTGCAATCTGAATATGTAGAAACAGAGAAGAGGGGGGGAGGAGGAAGAAAAGTTAATGTAACTAAGTAATTCTTTCAAAAGCAGCACCACCTCCAGTAGAATCTGCAAACATACCTCCTGCTTATTTTTGGAGGCTGCATAATGCAGGGGCGTACAGCCGTTCTGATTGACTGCATTTACATGAGCACCTTTAGCAATGAGGGCTTTCACAATTTCATCACGGCCTGCCGAAGCGGCAATATGTAAGGGAGTCCAACCAGCCTACAGAGGCAAGAAAAAACACACGTTATTCAAACGAGGAGTTTGAGGCAAAAAACATGACAAAGCATAACCCCAAAACAGACTTGACTACTCATTAGTTGTACTGCATACACAACTGTAAAGCTAAACATTGTTGATTATCCCCACAGTGACAAGTCTCATATCCTCTCACATGCCCGCATTCAGTACCTGACAAAAGCTGCCAGTTAAATGACAGAAATCACTTCTGTTAGGCACTCATGCATGGTATCTTGCAGGGCATTTTGCCCCTGAAGAATTAACAGTTGTGCTTTTTTAAGAAGAAATAAGAGTGGCAAACAAGAGTGTCCAAAAGTTCATGCAATCTTTTCTATATCCTACCCTCTAATTAAACCGATGGGACATTTAATTCTTTAAGGATGATCTTTAGGATGCTTCACAGTGGATGGAACTACTCCAACCCTTCCTCTAGAAGAGCCACAGATCACCTCCTTTGCGACTGTGAAATCACTGAACCTGTCACCTACTTGATAATGCCTTCCCCAGCAATAAGAAATCTTCAGGGTACCTCATGATTTGGCACAGCATATTTAAGGGGATCACATCTAAACAAAGATAATATGAAAACCCCCAACAACCCAAACATCCTTGGTTTTGCAACTTTGTTCGTGAGAAGAGCTCTCGTAAAATTCCTTGACAATAAGACCCACCAAGTCTCTTCCACAGTAAACACTGAAATACTTCAACTTGCCTTTCCAGCACACACACAGAATGTTCTTTTTAAAACCTCCCAGAAACCACAGTGGATACACCAACCAACGGGAGGAGGGAGAAAAGGCAGGAAACGACGAGGGCCAGTCGCCACCGGGCCGCTGACAGAGGCCCTTCTGCGTCTGAACAAACACCAAAGGGGCCGGACAGAAGCTGCGCCCACCCCATTCCCCACACCAACCGCTTCGCAGCGCTTCCTCAGCCTCCTGTCAGCAGCCCCAAAAAAAAACCCTGCACAGCGGTGAGGGGGGTCGCTGGAGGGCTGCGACACTCACATCGTCCTTGTCATCCACAGGCACGCCGAGGCCGAGG